CGACACCACTGGAATACGCCAGCACCCAACCAGGCTGAGTGGCACTTGCAAGTGTGGTGTTTATGTTCCATACATCAAGGGTTTATGGGCTAAACGTTTATGGGTCTGGCAACAACAAGCTTTCAAAGGGTTTTACACCCGCCCACGCACACATCTCCATATATGTGCACACCCACACACCCACACACGCACACACATGTAATACCACTTGAAATTTTACTTATACCAACCGCATTTTTTGCCAGTTGACGTCGAGTTTGACTGCACACTTGAATGACTTCCAAAAGACGCCCACTCAATGGTTGACCTCGGCTCAAATCCGCCCAGCAACCAGCGCCCATTCCCTGGCGCATATTTGCAGACTCTGGCACTCCATTGCCACACACTTATACACACACACACACACACACACATGCGCGCATGTGTGTGCAGCATTACGAGCGTATTACAAAATGTATTTTATCTTCATCGATTGCCAGAATTTATATCTTTTTTCATGCCACATCAGCGTTTTATGTGAACCACCACGCCCCCACACTCCCTTCGCCCTTCTATATAAGTTGAGGTTATGTATGTGCTGACAGCTACAACAACGAACATATGCCTCACTCTCTCTTTCTCTCCCTCCCACTCACTGTCTGTGTGTGTGTGATAAATCAGCTGTTCGAAGCATGTGGCTAAAGCGAATGAAATGATGCATAAGTTGGATAAGAAGAGATTATGAAATCAAAAGAATTTATAAACGGAATTAAGTATACCAGCTTTTGTGAACGGATCCCAATAAATCTCAGTGCTCGAAGGAACAAATACATATTTGGTTAATCGGGTGTATCAGCTAGAAAGATTGGAAGACTTTAAGAACTTGTTCTGATTTTTTAATTTTTCACGTCTTCAACATTTATCTATAAGATTAGCTGCGACTAGCTACGGATTGATATATATTTGTATTTTGCTGTTTTCGATTTTAATTAAGTTTATTAATTATTATTTTTGCTTAAGCTTATCATCTCAAATTCCATTCCACTTTCATCTCTAACACTTCTAATTTTACTCAACCAAAATAATAACTAACAAAAGAAATCGCTGACAGTTGCCAACATGCAATCATGTTTGCCAATTATGCAAATGCTGCCCACTGTGCGGCACTGTGGGGCATAACTTCGTAAATACTCCAAACACTTGGCTTCGTGTTTACCACAATTTACTGCGACTCGAGTTAACACAAACAGCAAAACTTCAGAAAATAAATGCACATTTTTTGCCACATTTCCGGAGAACCGACTGCCGCTCTGCCCCTTGGCCTGCCACAGTTGCCGCAGCACAGCCAGTTTACCATTCTGGGCGACGAAGACGACGAGAAGGAGTAGGAGGACGAGGACGACGACGATGCGGACGACGATGCGGACGACGACGTCGTTGTCCTGACAGCCCCGGCCAAGTTGGGCCACAATAAAGTCGAAGAAACGGGTCGGAGAGGTCGCAGCTTGCCATAAGCCAAATATGTCTGTGTCTGGGTGGCTGTCTGTGTGTGTGTGTGTGTGTGTGTGGGTGTGCGACGAAAGTGTGGCAATAAAAAGGATAATGTAACTGTTATTCTACGCAAAACGGAAACGACTGTGTGGCCAGAGGGTCGAGCTACCCCCTGACAGTCGCTTGGCAAGTGTTTGAAATATTTTTGTGGCAAAGGTGGCAACTAACGGGGGCGGGGGCGGGGGCGGGGGCTGGTTGTTGGCGTGTCGACTGACTGGGATGTGGGCGCAAAAGTGAAAAGCACAACCGGAGTCGTAGCTGCTGTGAGTGACTGAACAAGTGCCAACGAGGAAACGACTGTCAGTGGCTGCAGGGGCGGCGGGGTGAGATGGGCGGGGGTGGGGCGTCGTTGGTCGGGGTCGATTCGGGTTGATAGGGCCGAGAGCGAGCGGCCCCTGTCGAGAGTGCAAAAGAGCGAAGCCGGAAAATTGTGTGGAAATTTGAGCTTCTTTTGAAATTGAGGCCGGAAATGGCAGCCAGACCTCCCCCCGCCCCACAAAAGACCGCAGCATGTGGGGTGTGAGAGCGAAAAAGAGAGAGTGAGTAAGTGAGTGACTGACAGAGAGCGAGAGAGAGAGAGTGTGTGTGCTGAGAGTCAAGCAGAAGCGCAGAGAGCGTGCCAGAGCGAGACTGAACTGAGCGAGCGAGCGAGAAGGCAAACGCGCCGCTTGTTGTGTTAAACAAAATGTTTGCGGGTGCAATAAGCGTAAATTCAGTGGTTTTATGTTTACTTATTCAGCACGAAGCCACCAGCGCCCACTCCCACTCCCACTGCCCCCCACACACACACTGACTGCCTCGACCGATTGGCACGGGGACAATTATTTGATCCACACCATCATATGAGGCGGGGGAGAAACGGACTCCTTAGTCGAACCGTGTGTAGTGCGGGCTGGTAATATACTTTTGCAAATCGATGCCAACTCCTTAAACGATGGGTGGCACGAGGTGGCCGCAGGGTGGCCCGGGCGGGGGGCGGAAGCGTGTGGCATGTTGAATGCTCTTGAGTGTTTTCGTATGGTTGACAGGATAACACGAAGTAATTCAATTCGAAATACTTTATGCTGTTGCTTTTATTATTTGTGCTTGTGGGACTCGTCTGTATGTTTCATTTCGTCTCGTTCCGTTTCGTTTCGTTTCGGCTCGTTTCGTTTCTTTTCTTTTCTTTGCTGTCTCGTTTCGGTTGCTTTCGCTTCTTGTTGTCGGAAGTGGCATTTGTGTTGGGTGGTGGGTGGTGGAGCAAGGAGCCATTGTTGCTTCATAAAAAATGGTGTGCAAAGTTACACACAGTTTCCTTTTCGGTGTGTGCGTGTGCATGTGTGTGTGTGTGCGTCTGTCTGTGCGGTTTCTCTGTTTATTTATTTTTATGATGTTTCCTTTTTGGCATTTTATTGAAGAAGTTTACCGACGCCATTGCTGCTGTTGCATAAATAAGTGAGTGGCATGGACATGAGAGACTACGACACCCAAACCACACAAACCACCCACCCAGCCTTTCGTTTAACCACCCAACACACACACTGTAAACTGTTCGACCAACATCTTTTGCAATTCATAAAAAAAATCAATATTTATTGCAGACGTTGCTGAATGCCCCACCACCCACTCGAGCAGCGCCCGCTTGCTCCACCAATTTGCGGTCTTCGCTTGTTATTGAGCATTTAATCAGTTGATTTCTTATTCAGTTTTCTGCTCAGCTCATTCGCCTGCCCCTGCCCCTGCCCCTGCCCTTGCCCTTGCCACTGCCTTTTCCTTTCTGCTCAATTTTTTATTATCCATTCATGAAAAGGGAGCGTTAGTTTTGCAAATTGATTGCGCAGCAAACTAGGGAAATGCAATTAGGAAAACTTTTTTCCGAGCATTGGATTTATGCGAATTTGCAAATATTATGAATAGACATCGCTGTGCCAAGCCACTAATTAAAATATATAATATTTATGATAAACTACTTAGGCAAAGCCAGCAAATAAAGCTGTGCATAGGAAAGCGTTTCACTTAATCAAGGCTATTTTATTTAGATGAATACTAGATAGACTAGCAACGATTAGCTATAGCTTGTAACTATAGAATGTAAATCACAAAATTAACTAACTATATATAAACTAAAATTGTAGCTAAATTCAATTAGTTTTATTGTTGCTTTATAAGTCATGAAACATATTTATATGTCTATTCTACTGAGTTCATGAAGTTCATGCAGTTCATAAACTATATAAGTCATTCATAAACAATTCATACTGTGCAGCTATGCGTTGGTTCAGTTACCTATAGGACAGCTGAATAGCTGAATAGCTGAATAAAAAGTACGGTTTATGAGCAGCTAACTAACTCAGTAAAGCTTGTCGTTTATGAATAACTGAGCAAACTCTATTGTTCGTGAACAAGTGAACTATATCATTGACATAAAACTGAATCAGTTATGGAGTTAATTTTAAAAAAAAGATTTAATCAAACTAAATCTAAATAAGAAATTACAACTTGACATGCCTGAACTGCAAAATGAACGACTAGAAAATACTCTTACTGAAAGTAAATGCTAACAAAGAGTTTAACAGTTGACTTTTATGTGTTAAATAAAATATTAGAACACGCTCAAATATGTTATGAATAACTTAATAACTTATAACAGAACAAAGAGAGAGAAAGAAAAAAAAATTATATATATATATATATATTTTTTTTTTTTTTACTGAAAAATATATATATATTCAGTATATTCAATTGCATTAAATTGATGTAAACATAGTTGCAGAATACATAAAATCAATTAGAACAATTCATATTTCGTAAAGTATCGAATCTGTTAAGAGCTGATAAGTAAGAGTATATAAAACATTAAAATAAATTAACGTAAAAACTCCAAAATATATTTAACAATATTTGAAAGCATTGAATATATTTTAAAATATTTTTAAACATTTAAATGTTTAGTTTTAGATGCTCGTAGTATCTCAGATAAACATGAACTTTGTCAATTTGACGATGTATAATTCAATGATATAAACGTAAGATATATTGAGAAATATTAGGTAGGTTTTCTTCAATCTTTATCTTCATAGAATTTGATATATTATATATATTTTAGCATAACTAATTTTTGTTCTATCTATATACTCTTAAAAATTCACAGATTCCTAATATCTGTTTATGCCTGGCATACGAAGGGTTCGAAACGATTCCCAACAAATGCATTTGAACTTTCAACTTGTAAGCAATGCACATAGGGAAACTTGCTAAATTGGGGACCCAGTTTGTTTAAAATGCTAAACGCTTAACGCTAAGACTATTACGGCGTGGGCAGCGAGCTGGTAGGTAGAGGTAAAGCGTGGGCTGGGCAAACGGTTAAGTGAAACCAATTGAAGTTTATTGACGCGAATTGGGTTTCACTTGAACCAGGCACCTCGAGACGCTTAAAATGCGTTTCGCATTACCAAATAGAAGAGTGAGAGAGTGAGAGAGAGTACGCTTACCTTCTTTAGACTTTTCGTATTGCTTTGGCGACGTTGTCTTCTTGCTTGGAATGGGCCTCAGTGCGTTACTCATAAGCTGTGGGGATTACAAATGCATTGACATAAGGTTTTCTACTGCCACTTAAGCTTTTTCACTCACTATGCGATCAGAACGCTCGCCGCAGGGCAAACGCGCCACTGAGGCATCGGGACTGTCCTCCGGTGGCGGTGGCTGGGGCACCCAGTTGTAGGCCCGCCTAGAGAGGGGCACCCCAAAACGATCATGCTGCGATGCCTGTTGCCTGTTGACGTCGAAACAATCAGTTATATATGCTTGATGGCTCAACTGTTAACAGCACTCTCACCTCAAGCTCTCATAGCAGTCCAGGCAGACCACGGCGTATTCTCCATTCTCGAGCAGAAGTCCATCGTCGCTCTTCTGATGTTTAACGAATGGAAACTCATTGACAGGCAGCGCTCGCACCCGTTTTCTGTAAGTCGTAATGCCGCACAAATGGCAATTGTAATCATGCCAATTGTATTTCCTATCCGCTGGACTAAGGCTGGGACTTTGAGCTTCATATCTGCAACAACATTTACTTTGGTTACTGTGCTTTAATTATACTGTGAAGAACTCACTTGCGCCACTGATTCAGCATGGAATGATAGCAAAATGTGCAGACTAGAGCTGAATTGTTTCTCAGCTGCTCGGCATTTGGCAAAGAATTGTGCTTCAGCAACAAGGGAAAGTAAGGTCTCGAGCCCTGGAATGTAAAGACATTGATTACAAAGAGTCACGTGAAGACATTAACAAATTATGTTTATACTATATATAAATATATAAATAAATATTATTATGTTGGAAGAGAGAGAAACTAAGCAAAGCCTTTTGTCACTACGAGTTTCTGTAACATCTTTTGCAAATAGTTTTCCTATGCTTATTATATTTATCATAGCTATTATATATATTAGAATTGTTTCATTTCTTAATTTCTAGCTATATTCTATATATGTTACATATAGCAAATGTTCAGGAAACATAATTGGTAAAGTGCTTATAGATCAATATAGAATAATCAAGTTAACATATACAGAATTCTATTTTAATAATTTATGTTAAACATATTTTATATTAAAAAAAATTGAAATCGATATAGATTTTCTATATTTTTATATTTGAAAATATTTCTCTCAGCTGGGAGTTTAATTTGTAAAAGGTTTTTAAATAGCAAAAGTAGAGCATAGGCAAGTTGCAAAGATGAATAATATAACGATACAGTATAATAAGCTGTTGTAAATATTTCCTATGGTGACATAACGATATCAATTACATATTTATAAAACTTCATATATACACACTATAATATAATAAGCTGTTGTAAATATTTCCAATGGTGACATAAGGATATCAATTAAATATTTATAAAACTTCATATATACACACAAAAAAGCAACAATATTAAATAAAAACCTTTTTAAATAATTAACTTTCAGCTTCAGATTCAGATTAAATATACAACTTTTAAATTCGAACTTCTCATTACTATTCTGACTGAATCAGAATTTCTAAAATTTTAATTCTAAGTTCACAATAACATATTTAAAAATAAATACGTTTTAATACCTGCCGAATTGAAAGATGACACGCTGTTCTATATCTAAATATCTTAGCATAATTTATGATTTGATTTATAGGTATTATTCCAAATATCTAGGCGTTCAGGCTTATTCCATATCAAACAAACTGATATTTTTATCTGCCTAATTAGTTTGCTTATGCATGGGCAATTCTTATCTGCACAATTAATATCGAGAACATTATTTTTCTAATCTTATCTTTACAACTGGCGCAACATTTGTAAACGTGTTTCATTCATTAGAATTAACTGTAAGCTGGCCTACTTACGATACTTGTTATTAACAAAACGGATCTTAGCTATATAAGCACAGTTGACAACACATTTATAATACCTAATAATAACTATTTGTAAGCAAACATAATATGGTAGTATATTGTGAAACATATTCGGAGCTTGCGTATATGTTTCATCAGTAATAACAGATCATTTGCGACTGTTGTTGTTCCCGTTGATTATTAAAGATATCTTATCAAATCCCATAAACATTAAGCTTATATCGAAACACAATATAATATATCTCACATATGAACAATAAATTATCAATTAAAGTTGACTTAACATTAATAATATTAACAATTTCTTTGAATACTTAACTGTGCAGCTTTATTTAACTAAGAAATACCAAAATCTGATATCCAATACGAACGATCGGTCGTATACTTAATTCTGTTGACTAATAATCTTCTTTGTTCTATAAAAAAACATATTGAAGTCACTATCAGCGCGTATTACTTTTTGATAAATGGTTATTAATATATGGCTTTTTGTAAAGTTCTACTTAGAAATTAAAATGACGTTCTTTATCAGTCTATTTTTCTTGATTATAAAAAGAACGAGTTTTGCCTAATTGAAATCATAATCAGTTCTAAATGTTTGGCGGCACTTAAGTATTATAAATAACAGCTAGATACTTTAACGTTCAAATTTTCTGAAAGATAATATAAGAATGATTTATCAATTTGACTGAAGTTCCGTTTCTAACGATATACTCAATATATGCGCTATCATTTGCTGTCTCTTTTTTATCTAAGAACTAAACTAGTATTTTTATATATTATATATATATATATATTGCTTAACAGCATTTTGAACCAAATGTATGTATATACATCTACCAGTGTATGGTTACAAGTATAATATAACTCATCTTATAATACTTTTTTAGACATACAACATTCTCAAGTTAACTGACATAAAAAATAGTCTATTCTCAAATATGGCAACAAAATGTTAAGCCAATTTAATTTGTTAGCATAGTCATTGCTCGACTATTCTTGGAAGACTTATTTATATTATAGCCGTATAATTAAAAGTACAATAAAACTAGCTAATTTTAAGGCAGATAACATGCCCTTAATAGAGTTCCATAGTAAAGCTTATGAGTTCTTTGTTATCTTCAATACTTTACAGAATTTGCGCTTAACTAAAACTTGTGTAATTTACTTAAATAAATTTATATATTTGCTTAACGCTTTCTTCGCTATTTTCTTTCTCTCTCTCCCTCTCCCTCTCGCTTTACCTCTTTGCTACCATACAGAATTCTGGCAAGTGTTAGGTCCGAGTGCAGGCCGCAGAGGAAACAGTAGATTGAGGTGCTGGCCGGCGTTGACGAGGAGACCGATGGCGTTGAGGGCGGCGTGCAGGTGCTCATGGCGCCATGGCGAGATCCATTCGGTGAGCTGGAGGTCAGCATGGGCGAGGGTATTTTGTATCTGCAAAACAAGAGAGGCACAATTAGACTTAATTCGCATATTTTTAAATTTCATGCAACGAAACCTTCTGTGCTCCAGTGGAACACGCTCCGCATCCATTGACTCCCACTGGCTGGTTAAGTAGTTAATGCAATCCTTGCAGGCTAACACACGATTGTTATTCAGTTCGTTGTTGTTGTTATTGTTATTGTTGTTGTTGTTATTATTGCTAAGACCATTGCTGTTGCTGCTGGCATTGACCTTGAGACAGGGAAAGTGCATGGCATGCGAGTTCATGTGCTCGGCACTAGTGGACAGCCAATCCATTTTATTGGACGGCCAGAGAACTTTGCAAATGGAGCAGCTGTGGACGTGTAGAGATATATATATATTAGTAGAGAGTCACACTTAATGAAGGTAGAACATATTACGGATACTGGGCGTGGCCATTTTCGATATGTCCCTGGGTTGAGCTGGGCGAACTGGGCCTCGAGTCGGTGCGTCGTATCTGCTTGAAGTCGCGCGCCGTGTTTGAGTTGGAGTTGTTCGAGCAGGTTTCGTATGGCTGTAATAGAGAGCGTGGTATGTTTAATAAAACTAAAAATAAAAAATAAATTGTAGCTGCAGACATAAACAGAGCGACGACGCATATTCGGAACTTATCTAATCGAATGTTATTTAATATTTCGTACAATTGATATTCTCTTGAAGAGCCACCACTCGAATCGAGTTCCCATTCCAACCGCTTCGAGCCGCTTCGAACACTTCTTATCGGCCCTACACCACGCTTATTTCGTTGTGTGTGTACAGAAAGCGCTCGTCGACTACTCACTTCTAATCAGTTTGGCATTACGTTTACCTTGCTCTAGGCTCAATGTATGTAAGGCAGCTCTTCCGATAGAAGGCTTCGGCATTTCCTTATCAGTACAGCTGGAATAATATTGCATTAACTGGCCAGAACTGGTTTCGCCCCAAAACTCAATTACGATTTGTGGATGATGAATTATGACTGGTTTTCATGTTTGAGTCACTTTAAGGCGACATAAATCACAATTTGATTGACTATCAACTAATGAGATTTAAGCCGCTGAACTCCCGTTCAAATTGTAAATCTAATTTACCTTAATAAGTTCTATATTTTATGTCTATTTATCAGAATTTAGCAGCGACTTGATCTAGCACAGTCTGGATATCATTAAGTTAATATGAAGAATATATTATGTAAAGGGCACACCAAAGTCGCACATACCCTACACATACCCTCTTACATATTTTCTATACAAGTTGAGCTGTTTCTGTGCCTATAAAACTTTCTTTTTTTACCAATGATCATCAGTTTTGCCCATTGCTACTGCAGACGAACTCTTTGCCATTTCAAGAGCTCCCATCTCGAACTGTTTGTAGGCGCCAAGAGTGCTCCCGCCCCCACAATGACTGGGCAATTGAATGTGTGCCAAACTCTTCTGGCATTCAAAAAACTCGTCCAATTAAGTGCCATCAAAGCGCAGCTGCCATAAAAGGCAACCTTTAAAGTGCTTTAACAATAAGTTAACTGGTTCGCTCAACAGAAACTTCTACATATTTATAAATCTGATAAATATTAGTTGACAGACTAATGCCCAAAATCAAAGTAGATCAGTTAAGTAAAGCATTTTCTTGTATGATAAGATAGATAAGCATCCCCTTCAAAATTTGTCTGCCAGCATCACTTATGCTAGATCACGCTGGGTTTTTGAGATGTTCTCAGCTATGGTCTCTATTAAAAAGCTGAAATTAGGCATAATATAGTTTCAAGATACATCGCAAAAATTCACTATTTACATATCAAATATTATTTGATTGTAATGTGAGAAAATAATTAGTTTGATAGAACAAATACAATTTTTAATTATGTGGAAAAATATATTTCTAAAATACAATTTTTATATTCAACAAATTTTAGTCTGATTCAGATAATTTTTGTGAAAAGAAAAATACATTTTTAGAGCCTTTCCTTTACTGAAAATAAGATTTATATATCTTATCAATATCAATAATATATACTTTTATGTGATCAGAGACGGCTCCCATGACATCATAGAATTTCTCTCTACAAGGCATTTAAGTTAATTACAATATATACTCTGCTGGGTAGCTGTAAGGTAAAGCTAATCATGGCTTCTATGACGTTTGATGCGTACTATAAAAATGATATAGATATGGATAAATGGGTATGCGCAGTTGTTTATATTTGCTTTGGTATTTGCGCAATATATTATCACACTTTAATTATCTGTTATCTGTTAACTGTTAAGAAGAAAATTGAATGCAGCAGCTCGCACCTATAGCTATATATATATATATATATAGTGTGTGACAGCTATATAGAGACTCCGCCCACAGCGCTTATTGATAACTCTCACATTTGCTTGCATTTATCTACGTTTAATTTGTTTCCTCTTTCAGTTCTGACCTTCGCTTATCAAGCTACATTTATGCACCTGATAAATATAAAGATAAATAAATTTACTTTTTGGCTAACTGGGGCAAAGGTTTTTCTTCATTGCGCGCTCTGGCACCTGTTTAAAGATAATTTTTTCGGCTCAGCTAAACAATTATTTGCACGCCCAAAGACAATTTCAGCGTCACAGACACGCGAAACAAACAAGCCACAGATAAAGAGAGTGCAAGGGAGGAAGAACTGAAAGCAACCAGAAATAATAAGAAAAAGAAAAAGAAAAACAGGTAAACTGAAGTATTTATTTTGCAATTGTTTTAGAAGTCCAAAAGACAACACGTTTGTTGTTGTCATATTTATGAGAGTCGTTAAACTGAGCCAAGGCTGCTGAGTAGCTACAAGGCTATGCAGGTACTACAACATTTATATGTACAATATTTAGCAGTAATCTGTTGATATAGTTGATATATAAAATAAGGGCAATTGCATAGCCAAATACTATATACTATTTACTTGCAGAGGATTGCGACTTGAAGTATTTCCCAGCTATCAATGCATTCGAAAATGTATTTATAAATATTTAAAAATTTATTTATACATATATTAATGTTTAAATTAGTCTCACTATTCTGCTTTTTTTAAAAGCTAATCTCTGGCAGCTTATTTATTTTACCAGAGCATGTATAAGAAATAATATTTTTATATTGAAAACTATTTTAGTTTCCAAAATATTTTTATGAATTTATCGGTGTACAAAATATTTATATATTTAAATATTTTTTAAATTTTAAATATTTAAATATTTTTTTAAATATTTGTATATTATTCTATTTCACTTGTTAATGTTTAAATATTTATATATTTATATTTTGATATTTAAGCCATTTAAATATTTTTATATTTATAATACTATATTTAATAATTTAAATATTTATATATTTTAAATATTTATATTTTTACATATTCAAATATTTTAAAATTTATAATTTTTTTATATTTCTTATTTATTTATTTATTGTTTTATATATTTATATTTAATTTATTTAAATATTTATATATATAAATATATTTAAATTTAACTATTTTTTTTGTATTTTTATATTTAATTATTTATATATTTCTATTTTGATATATTTATATAGTTATATATTTAAATACTTATTAAAGTTGACCAATTAAGGCTTTAGTGTATTAAAATTGTTAACAAATTGAATATGATAAGAACCGGAAATGCCTTAAGAAAGTTGTCAAAGCTGTCCCAAGTGCTGTCTCTAGTAAACCGATAAGACAGCGACATATGGACTGCAATTGCTTGCCATCGGGTGACTTCATTGACTTAAACCTTTTCAGAATAAAATAATTGTACTAAATTGAACAGGAGTTAATTGTCCTAATACTAATATGAATGTGTAACATTTATGCATATTTTTAGTTAAAGTTCGTTCATTAAAGCTGATATTTGCCCAGCATTTTCTATAGTTCGAAATGAACCTCTGCTCTAATTTGTATTTTGCCAGATGCACTTCACATTAAAAGCCCACGATTGATCGAATGACAAACTAAATGCTGCACGGCTGTCATGATAATCTATAACAATGCCAATTTCAAGCGGAATCAATAACCAATTAAGAACTAACAAAAGCCACAATTAACTCGAAAGCAGCTGAAATAATATACGGACCTCTTACAATTAACTTTGCTGTCACTGAATATTTCTAGAAACTTGAAACTAAATTCTAAAGTAAAAAAATGCAAAAAAAAAGAAAGGAAAAATAAAACTAAGAAGTTTAAAGGAATAGCTAAATAATAAATAAACTACTTAAAGCGACAACAACATAAAGCTATAAATAAACGGGTTTAAACAAAACAATTTGTGGCATATCAGTGAAACCGGTTGGGGGCAGATGTCTACGGACCGAGGGAGAGACTTGTCCAGGTTTACCCACTTTTCGGGCATTATATTGGAGTCTTCTCTGGCTTTTTGTTTATTTATACAATAATTCGTTTAATTTGTGTGTCGTGTTTGCATTTTCGTGTGTGTATACTACTATTTGCCCCCAGCCGCGCCCAGATCTCGAACGGTAATTAAGGCGCACATGGGTCCGCTGAGACCGCAGCCCAGACCCACGACTGCCCTTGCCCGCCCCCCGGCCACGTCCCTGGCCACGCGGCTCTGCCGTGTGCATGCGTCGGGGCAATCTAATCTTGACATTTGTTGACTCAAATTGGTTAACATGTTGACACTCGACTTGCCTCGACCGCCTCCGCTCCCCCTTCCCGCGCACTGATAAGCGCGCTAACTAATGAAGCTGCCTCCCTGCCGTCCTTATCAGCTCTTTCCGCCGGGCCATGCTCGCCTACTCGTATATTCTACATAATTGATATCGCTGCTGCCGACCTTCAGCATGCTAATGAATTACTCAACATGTGCCCAACCATCCGCCTGTCCATACCCATTGTCCATCTGTCCGTGCGTCTGTCTGTCCGTCCGTCTGCCAGGTCGTCACCTTTGAGAAATGCTCTTTGGGTTCAGTTGGTTATCAGCCGCGAGGGCAGAGATCGCCGAGGTGTTATCGCTTCCCAGACTTGCTCTCATTAGCGCGACACGGTCCGAGTTGCAAAGTTCCATTTCTGATGTATATTCCATATATACACATATACCCTATACACGAAATCCCCATAGGGCATATATCCATAGCCATTTCGATATGATAAGAACTCAACATTAAATACTAGAAAAATAATCTTTTAAAGTATATTGAAAAAAGCAATTTCAAGTCCAATAAGATTTGATAACGAGACTTTAGTTTGGGTCAGGGTATTTTGAAGTCGTTTAACTGCGGCAGTTTTAATTGTTTTTCCATACGATGTGTAATCGCTTTTCCTACATATAAATATTTAATTCCTGCTGCAATCGACAGCTAGTAAATTTCCATGTATACACACAAGGCAGACACAGAGCCTGAGGTACATTGAGAGAAAGAAAAGAAAAACTAATCGAAGACGCACAAATTGTTATTGACAAGCAAATCGATTTGTGTTGCTTGAGACAAAACCAACTGGAACTGGCAATGGGAAAGCCGGAAATGTAGTTCTTAGCCGGATCGAGCCGCAGTGGAATAGAAATTTAACTGGCTGTTGCCTGCTCACCTTGAAGCGCACATTGCTCGTTGAGTCCGAATTGGCTAGCGACTTCTCCGAGGGCGAATTGTGACCCACAAATGCCGTCACATGATTGCCAGCAATCGCGCCGCTAGCGCTGTACATGGCCGAGCTGGACTCCAGGGATTGCGTGGCGCCGGACTCCGATGTGGCAGGTACAGGCGGGCCGCCCTCGGCCAGGCTGCTGTGCTTCTCGCTGCAGCCGGCGCAGATTTGCACCATGCCTAGAAAATACGTAAAGGAATTTGATCAATTTTCCTTCATATTTTAGTGTGGAGCAGGGCAAATCACCTTGCGGACTGATGGGACTAGCATTTTTGAAGACCTTCATTGTCTTGATGAACGGATAGTAGGGCTCCCGTTCTGTGTTGGCGCAGCAGTAGACCAGTCTCAGCTGCGACGAGGGCGTATCCGTGCCGCAAGTGTAGCACACAAAAGTTGTTCGCTCCGTCACGGGCGCCGGCGTCGAACGCTTACGCAGCATATAGGAGCGTTGCGACTCTGGAGTGTGCGCAGCCTGCAATAAAGAGACGAAATACATTAGTATATAGACGGATTTGACAGTTGCGATCATAGATAGGGATATGTATATAGCAGTTTACAGGGTATCTAACAGTCTGCGTCATAGTCATACATAATAGACAGACTCAAATAATCTTAGCTCACATCTATAAAATATGCAAAATCTTAATAAACATCTTATTTAAAACGCCATTAATTTGTGCCTTTTTCTATATTTGTAGGGTATATACCTCACATATTATAGGGTATATGAAAATAAATGAGACACATTCTCAGCTCACATCGTTTCACGTATAAGTGTTAATCTAGTCAGGTACACTGAATCAATCGATACAAGATACCGAATTACAGGGTATCTATCAGTCAGAGTTGTTTTAAAAGACAAACTCAAACAATCTTAGCTCACATCTCATTAATATAGGCAATCTAATAAACAACTATATTTAGACCTCAAAATCCACATTACTGTGTGAATTTTTCGATTTTTATAGGGTATATACATAGTGTATAGGGTGCATAACAACAATTTGAAAGCCAATCTACGCTCACATGCAATAAGTGTTAATCAAGTAAGTTTCATCGAATCATTTTACATAAGAAAGCAATTTACAGGGTATCTATCAGTCTGACCATTATAATACTCGCACAATCTTTGCTTTCATCTAACAAATATACAAAATCTTAATAAACAACTATATATAGACCTTAAATTTGAGTTCCATATGCCATGCCTTTGTATATTTATAGGGTATACGGCTCAAATATAAACTGAAAACCCAGCTGAACTCACGTAGTTCCAGGTGTGAAGTACACATATGAGAGTGTGGCTATTTAAAATCGTTTATCGCACATGCGAACTTTAGCATACATTAGACAAAATAGGTTCGTAATACCTATGAATCAGCTCAGTTGACTAGTTGGTAGCTGTTGCTATAGCAGCAGCAAATCTATATTGATAATTGCTTTTTATAGAATTTACAATGAATTGAATCAATTTATTTACTTAAGCTATAAACAATGAAAACTGAATAATATTGTGCTCTGTGGAGATTCCCATTGCAAATATAGAGTCATAAACCACTTAATGACCTCAAATAAATACTGAACATATAAATTGTGTGTTAATAAATGACCTGTTCGAACCAAATTTTTGAAATTGAGCTAACTCAAACTACAAGCGGAAATATTCAAGATTCGAATAGCCATCATATTATATCATTTTATTTAAAATTAATGTGTATATCAGCATTGCTTGCATTCCTACCAAAGCAGTAAATCAATCTACAAGTACTAAAATAAAGCATGCGGTAAAAAAAAAAACAAAAGATTGTTTTGCTAATAACCTAAACACGATTTATATTGCACATTGTTGGAAATATAAATGAGTTTTAAGAGATAAAATATTGCTACAAACAGTTTGATTTATAAAGCAGATCAATTAATCTGGAAAAAACGGAACGAAGGTTTGAGAGAAGACAAAAGTCTATTGAACTGAACAAAAGATTCAATTTTTTCCATACAAAACGAATTAATGAATAGACTATATAATTTATAGATCTATTAGTACAGGTTATCAAAGGTATCCATCGTCCAGCATATAGTTTTCATATATATCTACATATATATTATCATAAACAAATGAAATCTAGCTGTAGGTGAGCTAATAGCTATAAAACTATATAGCTTATAGAGTTTTCCGACAAATTCCCACCCTCGCATCAAAACTGAACTGAGTGTACGTTATACAAATCTATATATTACAATTTTTAGCAGTTATTCTGGAAACGGCACGACGGGAAAGCGATAAACCCAATCAAATGAGTGACAATCAATTATATTTTTAATGACAGTAGTATAATCAGTTGAGTGGCCATCAAAACATATAATTTATGCATTTCCAGATAGAAAAGTGTTCATTTTCATTGTCAAGCTAAGCCAAGCCAAGATAATCCCTGTTTAAGGCTCTTCAGTTAATTGAATGTTTGTTGATCATATGACAGATGCATATCAGCTGATTGCCACACACGCACACACATACGAGCAGCCACTGTTACTTAAGCTGCTCATAAGCATCGTCAAATGAATTCGCATGGCCTGTCCATCAGCATATGACAAGAGCTATTTGATATATTACGTATACGCTCAAGTAGCTCCCACAGATACATACATATCTACCTACATGCATGACTCTGTCTGCGTCTGTGTTTATTTATATATATTTACTCTGTTTATTTGTTCGCAAATCCTCCACTTTGCTCAAATTGTATCTGTGCCAAGCATATATATGCACATAAATATAAAGTGTACATATCTCTATACAGACAGAGGGACTGATGGACGGACCGAGTCGTATCTGGGCAGCTGTCTGCCGTATCCAGTCGTATCTGGTTAAGACAAACACGCAAACTCAACCGGCATTCATTTATTTTATTAGGCACTAAGCAATTTAATTGTTTGTTTACTTTTCTTATTTCCATTGTGTGTCAGATTTTTTGACATTGATATGCGCGCATTTTTATTACACAACTCGTCCCGGGCACGACTGACAGTCCATGACACACACACGTTCATGTAGATATACACATTAAATCTCCCTCTCTGCATGTGTGCGAGTGTGTGTGTGTGTGTATACATCAATCTGGACAGCGTCAAGTCATCCATATTTATTGATCCGACGCCGAGCGGTCAAATGGCGTCGCCTGCGCCGTTGGCTTCTGTTGGCGGCACTCTCCGTCTCTTCCTCTCTCCCACATTGCCCTCTATCTGCCACTCACACTGCTTTGGCTCTCTTCCCCTCCCGCTCCCACCCCTTACTCTTCGCTTAAGCGAACGCGTTCGTCATTTTTCGTGCGCTCTTTTTTATGCTCATTTTTCATGTTCACTCGTTTCATTTGCTATCCCCCCCTTCCACTTGTACACAGCTGTCCCGCTTTTTTGCAGTTGTTGTTTCGGTTTCCATGTTGCTGTTGTTTCTTTTCTTGTTGTTGCTGTTGATAAGCATTTTCAAAATGGGGGTCATGACCGTTTAATAACTTTATGTGAAGAGACTTTTTCTCTTCTTTTTTCTGGTTATAACTTTTGTTTCGTCTTTTGTTTGATTGTTTGCTTGTTAATTACAGTGCCGACGTTAGAGCGACAGAGACGGAGATATAGAGATGGGAGTTTGTTCTTACGAATCTAAGCAGATTTAGAGCTTTGTATCTATGTGTGTATATACATACTTGTATATGTATATGTATATATTTATATATTGTAGAAGATTTAACTTCACTTCTGTTTATATATTAATTGAATTTCCCGTTTAAAAATAGAACTAATTCTTGATATATGAGGAAAAAAAACAATTTGTCTTTCAGCCATTTTATAGATCGTTTATCTTTGAGTGCTTAATACATTTGCCCAGTTCTATTATATCTCGACTGTAATAAACAAATTCAGTTATTTCTGTTCTTAATGGTTTTTTTCGTTGCAAGTACACAATCTGAATTTGAATTATTTTTGCAATTCCCAATGCCAACAAAACATGTTCTATGCATTTATTTATTTATTTATTTATCCGATTAATATGCATCGATGTCAGAGCACAATAAATCTACTTGTTGGCTATTTGGGTCAACACGAATGCATTTTATGGCCTCTATTGGTATTGCTAATAGATCGAACAGTTCCCCACTTCATTGATTTGTTAATAGATATTTGTAATTATAGCAACACTCTCCACTTATCTCTCAGATTGTGCTATCTATTATCGCTAAATATAAAATGTACTTATTTAATGCGGTAAATCCGATAATATTCTCAATCATTTATGTATGTATGTAAATTGCAGCACAGCGATAGGAAGTTCCCAATCAAGTTGCGCAATCACCAACGATTGCTTCCGTTCTCAGAGTTATCTACGATCTGGTTTTTTTTTGCACTACGAATCACTCAGAAGTTACTATTAAATATTTATTGCGCTCTTAAATGAATTCTATTGACTGAATTTAACTGTGAAAAAATGAATTAGTATAGAAAAGGGCAATCGAACTCTAGTGTATAAATGAATAAATATGTTAAACATTATATTATAGAAGTTGGACTAATTAAAAGTTTTATTCTTTTCTTTTTGAGTAGTTACTACTATTTTTATGAACTACTAAAAATATCTAAATTAATAAAAGAAATATATTCTACTAAATATTCGTTTCAAATTGTTTTCAAAATATTGAGTTGTGCACTAATATTTTTATGAGCAAAGCTGAAGTAGATCCGTCAAATATTATGTTTTTTAATGATTTATAATCACAGATTTTAATGCTGTTTGTTACATTTCGAGTCATTAATGAGTTTTATTAGACAAAGTAAATAGATGTTTATAGGGTATCTCTTTATAGAGCGCATTGCATACTTCAAAATTGCATCTCAACTTCTGACAGTTTGACAATGTAATTGAGCTCGGAGAACTGAACACATTGTGATTTATTCTAAAAACAAAATCTTAATTTTAAATATTTATAAGTCCCATGGAACTTTAATGAATATAAAAAATGGTTTCCACGCTTTATATAAGCTTTAATTCCCTCACAATTCCACGTAAGAAAGCGGTTCGAGCTTAATCAACATTTAAATTTTTTTCTATTAAAAATTTATTTGTTTAATGAATTATGAATAAAAATCTTTAAGCTTATAACATTCGCAACGCCTCGATGTTCCTAATGCGTTTACCTTTTCGTTCTGCTGCTCCTTTAGGATGAGATACGTTTTAAGTTTCTTATAATCCTTCCAGCCATTCGTATCCTTTGGCTTAAAATTGATAACTGCTGTATCGGCTGCTGCAGTTGCGGCTGTTGCAGCTGCATCGTTGTTCTTTGAGCTGTCGCCGACAACAACAGTTAGATTCTGTGCCATTGTCAGATACTATATATTATGTATACTCGTTAACAGTTACGCTTTGAATGAGTTGCTATCTCATTATTTATTTTTTATTTTTTTTTTTTTTTACAACATTTGTTT